CCCATTCTCCATCTATGGCCTCATGGAGAGTTCCTTATGTTCAGTTGACTGAGGGCGAGAAAACTCATGCCTGGTTTACAGATGCTTCTGCATAATACATAGGAACCGCATGAAAGTGGACAGCAGTGGCACTGCAGCCCTCTTCTGGGACTTCCTTGAAGGACAGTGGTGAAGGAAAATCCTCCCAATGGGCAGAACTTCGAGCTCTGAATTTGGTTGTTCCATTTGCATGAAATAAGAAAGAGCCAGATGTGCAAATGTATATGGATTCGTAGGCTGTGGCTAATAGCTTGGCTGGATGGTCTGGGACTTGAAAGAAACATTATTGGAAAATTGGTGACAAGGATGTGTGGGGAAGAAGTATGTGTAGAGATCTCTCTGAATGGGCCAAAGGAGTAAAGATATTTGTGTCTCATGAGAATGCCCACCAGAAGTTGACCTTGGCAGAGGAAGACTTTAGCAATCAAGTGGATAGGATGACATATTCAGTGGAAACAGCCATCCCTTTTCCCCAGCTACTCCTGTCATTGCTCAATGGGTTCATGAACAAAGTGGCCATGGTGGCAGGGATGGAATTATGCAGGGCTCAGCAACATGGACTTCCACTTTCCAAGGCTGATTTGGCTACCACCACTGCTGAGTGCCCAATATGCCAGCAGCAGAGACCAACACTGAGTCTGCAATATGGAACCATTCCTTGGGGTGATCAGCCAGCAACCTGGTGGCAGGTTGATTACACTGGATTACTTCCATCATGGAAAGGGAAGCATTTTGTTCTTACTGGAATAGAAACTTATTCTGGATATGGATTAGCCTTCCTTGTACACAATGCTTCTTCTAAAACCACCATCCACGGAATTACAGAATGCCTTATCCACCATCATGGCTTCCCACATAGCATTGCTTCAGATCAAGGAACTCACTTCACAGCAAATGAAGTTCAACAGTGGGCCTATGCTCATGGAATTCACTGGTCTTATCATGTTCCCCATCACCAACAAGCAGCTGGCTTGATGGAATAATGGAATGGCCTACTGAAAACACAATTACAGGACTAGCTAGGTGGCAGTGCAACTAGGGTTGGTGCAATGTTTTCCAGGAGGCTGAATATACTTTAAACCGGCATCCAGTATACAGGGCTGTTTCTCTAATACTCAGGAATTAAGGTTCCTGGAACCAAGGGGTAGAAACAAGAGTGGTTCCACTCACTATTACCCCTAGTGACTGACTCAAAATATTTTGGCTTCCTGTCCCTGCTACCTTATGCTCTACAAGTGTGGAGCTCTTAGTCCCAAAGGGAGGAAAACTCCCACCTGGAGACGCAATACTGACTGCACTGAACTGGAAGTTAAGAATGCCACCCAGCCATTTTGGCTTCCTCATTCCTCTGGATCAACAGACAAAGAAGGGCATTACTGTAGTATCTGGTGCAATAGATCCTGATTGCCAAGGGGAAATTGGATTGACATTACATAATGGAGGTAAAGAAGAGTATGTATGGAATACAGGAGATTCTTTAGGACCTCCCTTAGTACTATTATGCTCTGTGATTAAAGTCAATGGAAAATTACAGCAACCCAATTGTAATATGACTACTAATGGCCCAGACCCTTCAGGAATGAAGTTTTGGGTCATCTCATCAGGCAAAGAACCATGACCAGCTGAGGGCTTGTTGAGGGCAAGGGAAATATGGAATGGGTGGTGGAAGAAGGTAATTCTGAATATCAGCTATGACCATGTGACTAGTTACAGAAATGAAGACTGTGATTGTTATATTTTTTTCATCGTGTATGTGCATCAAATATTTTTTATTCCTTCTGTTACAAACTGTGAAACGTAAATATGGTTAATGTGTTTTGGTTGTATGTGTGTTAGCGTATCATGATAGGCACAAATATGAATTTATAATTCTCCTTAGAGATTATATATGGTGAAGAAGATGTGTACAACTGCCTAGTTGACAGGAAGTAAACTGTGATAGTTGGAGTTGTGTGTCAACTTGGCTGGACCACAATTCTGTGTGATTTAAGCAATTGTGATGTGAGTTATTCTCATGATGGGATCAGATGTATATGTTTTGAGCAGCTAATCCATTGAAAGGAAGTTTCCTAGGGGTGTGTCCTACATCCAATATATTTATGGATATCCTGGGCAAAGACACTCTTCTACAGATCGGGATACTGTTGTGCTGCCAACAACTACCGTGAGCAAACAATCCACCAGTGGGCCTGGAGATCTTGGATTTGTCATTTGTTGGAGTCAACAGCCAGTATACTGCCTGCCAACCTTGAGGTCATCAGCCCCTGCAGCTGTGTGAGTCAGGAAAAGCCTCCAGCTTGACATTTGATCCAAGAACTTGGGACCTGCCAGCTTCTGTAAGTGTGTGAACTATTTTCCTAAGATACATTTCTCTTTTTCTCTATATATAAGCTCTGTATTTCTCTATATATTTATATATATTTATAAGCATATATATATATATATTATACATGTATTATATTTCTACACGTTTCTATACATATATAAGCTTTACTGGTTTTGCTTCTCTAGAGAACCCAGTCCAACACAGGGAGTGTCTTCAAAGCAGGAAGAAAAACTTTAAAAAGTATAAAAAGGTAACTGTATCCAAGGATGATGGAACAGAGCACTAACTGCTGCCAACTCTTAGCTTTCCCTTTCCTGGTTCAAATCCTGAGGTCCACCGGATAGACACTGACTCTGGTTCCTTGTGCTTTAGTTTGCTCATGTGGGAAAGAGACTGTAACAAGTTCTTCGTAAAGTTGATGTGATGATTCAATGAGTTAATAGGGTAGAGCCACAGCACGAGAAATGTCAGAGGTCAGTTACAATGTCAATGCTGGCTCTGTTAGGTAGATTTAAAAAATATCTATGTGTTTTGTCCATTATGAAGCCCGTGTCTCTACCTTTGTCCTTGCCTCTTAAACACTAGACATTATTATCATCATTAGCACTTGCTTCTCCCCAGGTGTGACTGACATAGAATGTCTTCAGATCCTGACAGCTGGCTGCTGAGGTGCAAAATGGAGTCCTGTTGAGAATCAGAGATGTAAAGGGAGTGTCTTCAAAAGAGGAAGAAAATATGTGAAACGTGAAAAGCAAAAGCAAGGAAATGGAGTTACAACCCTGTCCCCTTTCGGAATCCTGGGGAATATGATCAGAGGTTTTCCCTGTCTTAAAATATGGCTTCTATAGCAGAGGTAGGTCTGTGTAAGCTAGAGAACCTGAGGGGACGCTGGACTATAGACTGAGCCCCCTGGAATTTCTGGACACTACATGAGGGATCAAGAAAGTTGAGCCCAGAGTCTACAAATTGGAAATGGCCCCTGGGGTGAGAAATGAGATCATGCCACCCATTATCTGCTACGCACATCCTCTGCCAAGGCGCAGATTCCCTGTGCTGAAGGTCTGGGGAGACTGGAGGGCTGTGAGGCAGTACTAATTGAACAGGGGAGGATCACAGGACCTGGAACATACCAAGAGAACACAGCAAACATTCACAAATACAGACTTTGGTAGAGACCACCAGTGAAAGGCCCAATCGTAGCACCAATAACTTACAATGCAGCGAGAAGAGCATGCTCGTGTGAGCCAATGTGGAGTCATGGGGAATATAGTCAGGCCAACTAATCGACAGCATGAAATAGAGCACCTTCAGCCACTGAAGAAACAGTTCCACACACAGCATTCAGCCAGAGAACGTCCGTCACCGTTTCAACAGTGATGACTTATTGCAACTCACATACCAGGCCCTTTGTCATAAGCACAGACAAGTTATATCCACTATCCAAAAAGAAGCGTACTTATGAAACCTTTCATGAGGCAATATATTGTAAAGGGAAGCAGCAATTACCATTAATTTTTTTTGTGAAAAATTTTCAGTGGTCTCAGACTTGGTGGCTCCTTACGACAATAAAACCACCACCACAGTAACAATACTTAAATGTAATAACAATTACTGGCTGAAAATCGAGAAACAAAATGTACAGTATCAAAATACCACTAATATGACAAATTTTACAACTAAAAAGATAAAAAAGTGATTTTAAATAGGAAAGAATGTAAGAAAAAGTATTAAATATGGGGGAAAAACACTCTTAAACCAAGTAAAAGATGAGTTTTCTTTAAGTGTATAAAATACAACATCAATAGAAACATTAAAAAATATAAAGCCACGTCTTCTCAAGGGTATTCCTTGCAGTTTATTTGTACTAGCCAAACACTTAAAGAAAGGCACAATTTAGCATGGATTGTGACAGTAACAAACACTGATGAGAACAGTACAGCACATACAATGAAACTCTCATGTTTCCCAAAGGCACAAAATAGGTTTAATGACCTTTTCTTTGAGTTAGTATATCTGCCTTACTACTGAGAAACACTCTTCTTTCCTTGCAGACTGTTGAAAATTTGTTGTTTCAACTTACAACGACAAAGATGAAAAAATCCCATGCTGACATAGAATAATCTCTCATAAGCAACAGATGAGGAATGACTAAAAGCTTCCCTACATTCCTCACATTCATAAGGCCTCTCCACTGTGAGGTCTTGTATGTGTACCGGGGATTGCGACTTGCCTAAAGGCTTTCTCACATTCCTGACATTCATAAGGCATCTTTCCAGTAGGAGTTCTTTTCTGTAGAGTGAGGGATGAGAATGTATGAAAGGCTTTCCCACCTTCTTTATACTCAGGCTTCCCTCCACGGTGAGTTTTCAAATGTGAGGTGGGAGGAACACATCTCTCCACTGTGAGTTCAGCTGTGGTTACTGAAGGTTGAGGACTGAGTAAATGATTTCCCACAGTCCTGATATTTTCAAGTTTTCTTTGTAATGTGAGTTCTTCTATGGTTGTGGATGACTGAGGAATAACTAAAAGCTGTCCCACATTCCTTACATTGATAAACTTTCTGTTCACTGTGAATTCTTCTATGTACAAGGAGGTATGAGGACCACTTAAAGGCTTTCCCTTATTCTTTACATCCTTAAGGCTTCTCTGCACTGTGAGTTCTTTTATGTTTAGTGAGGGCTGGAGCCTGACTAAAGGCCTTCCCACATTGCTTACATTCATAAGGTTTCTCTCCACTGTGGGTTCTCTTATGTTTAGTGAGGTCTGAAGAACAATTGAAACCTTTCCCGCATTCTTTACATTCATAAGGCCTCTCTCCACTGTGAGTTCTTATGTGTTCAGAAAGGCTAAAGGGACGACTGAAGGTTTTCCCACATTCCTTACATTTGTGTGGCCTCTCTCCACTGTGAATTTTATTATGTGCAATGAGGTGTGAAGAACGACGAAAACCTTTTCCACACTGTTTACATTCATGTGGCCTCTCTCCACTGTGAGTTTTTCTATGAGTACTGAGATTTGAGATTTTTCTAAAAGCCTTCCCACATTCTTTACATACACAAGGCTTCTCCCCAGTGTGAGTTCTTTTATGATAAGTGAGGGCTGAGGAATCACTAAAGGCTTTCCCACATTCCTTACATTCATAAGGCTTCTCTCCACTGTGAGTTCTTAAATGCCTAGAGAGCATTGTGGACTGACTAAAGGCTTTCTCACACTGCGTACATTTAAATGGCCTGACACCACTGTGTGTTCTTCTATGCTGAGTGAGGTTTGAAAGCTGAGTAAAGGCTTTCCCACATTCTTTACACTCATATGGCCTCTCTCCACTGTGAGTCCTTCTATGACAAGACAGGTGTGAGGAACACCTAAAGGCTTTCCCACATTCACTACATTTATAAGGCCTCACTCCGCTGTGAGTTCTTCTATGTACAGTGAGGGATGTGGCCTGACTGAAGGCTTTCCCACAATCCTTGCATTTATATGGCCTCTCCCCACTATGAGTTCGCATATGTTGAGTGAGGGTGAAAGTCACTCTAAAGGCTTTTCCACACGTTTTACATTCATAAGGCTTATCTCTGTTGTGAGTTGTTTTACGTAATAAGGATGAAGGAAGACTGTAGCTTTTACTACTTTCTTCACACTGATTCTTGTGATCTCTCTCACGTGTAGAGAAGGAAGAGAAACTAGAGAAATCTTTCCCATATTCGTTACATTCAAAGCATTTCTCCGCAACGTGTGCTGTCACAGGATTCTTAAGGCTTGATATACAAATGATGTCCTTTTCACATATTTTACATCTCTGAGGTTTCTTTCCATTAAGAGCTCTCATAGGAGTGGTTAGGCAAGAAGGACAACTGCAGGCTTCTCCACGATCCTTACACTGACTGGATCCAATGTGAGATCTGGTGTGATGCTTATGGGATGAGTGAGCTGTGAAGGAAGCTCCAGACCCACAGCATTCAAAGCAAGTTACTCCTGGAGGATTTCTTCGAAACACAGTAAGCTTTGGAATCCAGCTTAAAGTTTTCCCACACTGCTTGCCTTCATTATATTCACAAAGTTTCCCTACTATACGATTTCTGTCAGACAATATGCTGTTGGAAATAAATTTGTTCCCATTAAACCATTTCCAAGGACAGGGAATATATACGGTTTCCATTCTGACTTGTCTCATATTCTATAATGTAAATCATCTGGCAGGAATACTATCATGGTTGACCCTGTTTTTCAGAACTTTCTAATTATTGTGTCCAAGGGAAATGTGCTTCAAATTTTTATCTGACTCACATTTATGAAAATGGTGTATCATGAAAATTCTCAGAACACACGATTGTACATGCACACACACGTGCACACTCTCTCTCACACACACACACACACAGGGATGCCCTGCTCTAACATGGCTGACGACTACATCACAATGAATGTGCGTTGCTCTCCACAGTCCAGCCAATAAGCCAGTGTCCTCTATCAGGCTCCTGAAAATTTTAGGATCTATGTGAACTAATTTACTGGCACCTCTCTCAGTGACACACATTCAAAGCAGTGCGGTCGGCCACCATCTTTGAGCAGGGTGCACTGACTGTTTCCTACTTAGATACAAATCACAGAAATTTGGTGGTTTATTATACAATGTGTATACCGCTCTTGTTTATGTGATTAATTGTTGAACTGTTATAAACTAATTTTAAACCCACATTAATATATGTATATATTATGATATCTGTATTTTAATGTTCTGACATCTAAGGACTTTCTCGTGATGCATTATTTTCTCATGTTTAAATTGCACTCACCTCAAACATCTCCTCTGGTTTTTATGCTGATCTCCACTGCCATGAGATTCAGAGATTTCTCCTAACATGGAGCACCAGGTGTTATTCTTCATGAATCCCATCAGTATATGTTCACTGGATAATTTTTCTCCATCACTACTGTTTTGTGAGACTGACCCAATAATTCAAGTTATGGTTCACAATATAAAACACAAAAGAAAGGAACTATTAGTGAAAAAGCCCTGTGTTAAACAAAGCAAGACTTAGTCATAGTTTGCTGTTTCAGCACTATTACCTACACAATGTTTCATTACCAGGAATAATAAACATGACTCTACGAGGCAATACATAGGTAAACAGGCAGGATGATCAGATACAGGCAGCTAAAGAGAAAAATAATCATGACCATATAAAGATCTGGCAGGTGAAATTTCTACATATGTATTTCTACATGTAATAAAAACACCCACACATATAATAGAGATAACAAAGCTCTCTATATATCACAGTTATAAGAACCACAACCAAAATATGTAAGGAAGTGAGTTAAGTAGTAGCAGCTCAGGACCACTGTCACAACAGACTACAAGCTCCATAGGCATAACAAACCAAAAACCAAATTCACTGTCGAGTTCATTCCAACTCATAGTGACCCGCATTGGGTTTCCAAGGCAGTAAATCTTTACAGAAGTAGACTGCCTCAGGTTCATTCCACAGAGTGGATGGTGGGTTTGAACCTCCAACCTCCTGGTTAGCCGTCAAATGCCGTAGGCACTGCATAGTACCAAAAAGGCTGTTATTCATCCTACTTTGGTGAGTAGCGACTGGCGTCTTAGAAGTTTGCAAGGGCCAATGTAAGCACACCTCTTGGTCTCCCCATGTCTAGAGCAAGTGAAGAAAGATGCACTGAAGCAATTAATCCAAGGGACTAGGGGACCACGGGAACCTCACCTACGTGACATTAACACCAGAAGAATTAGACAATGCGTGGCTACCACTGCCAACCACACACACAAGGATCAAAATAGGAGATCTTTGGCAGAGGGAATGAAAATTGTGCAACCTCAAAGTCATAAAAAAGTGCAGGATTCCTGGTATGACAGAGAGTGGTAAAGCCCTCAAGACTATAGCCCCTAGTCACCTTTTGGGCCTGGAACTGAACTCATTCAGCCAAATACCAGAAAGGCCAATAGGTTCACATTTACAATGGGGAGTTGCACTGTTTAGAACAATCTTCTATAGGAAATCAGAAGAACAATATTTACATGGGGAGAAAGCTCAGAATACCAGAATGCATAGGAAGGAAGGACACAGGGAAAAATCAAGCAGTTACTTGGGGAACTATAGGAAGAGTGGGTTACATCGTGGAATTGTAATCCGTGTCAGAATACAAAATCAGTATAAACTGTTGAATGAACGACAAAATTCCTCTATGAACTTTCACACAAATCACAATGAAAATTTAAAAAAAGAAAAAACTACAAAAGAGGAAAGGAAAGGGGGTCTCTATGACCACAGGTGGGAGAAAATGAGAAAAGTAAACCCAGGTATCTGTGAATTTGTGTCCTCAACTGCAGTGTAGTAAATTACTTTGTGTGACTTTTCTACCCATAAGTCTTTGTAAACTCCAAGGTGGGATTCGCTATGAGCAACTGAGGAGCTCCTGATTGCTGAAAGTGTCCACCTGGAGTATTTCTGTTGGCAGTGGCACAAAACAATGTTCTGGGAGGTGCCCACTCTCTCTCAGGTGCTTAGAGTTCTGATGCTATAATT